ACCCAAACCCGAGAGTGAAGTGAGAGTGCGAGTGCGGCGACGATTTACGTTGTGAATGAACAGGAAAATCATAAAGAAATAGGAGAATGACACTGCGACTGGAACTGCAGTTGAAAATTACAATTACACTGAGAATGGTACTCAGAATGAAAGTGCAATGGCGACCGCGACTGTGAGTGAGAATGCAAATGACAATGGGAATGCAACTGCGACTGGTGGTGGGAGTGATCAGTAAAATGCAAGTGAAGGCGAAAGTGCTCTTGCGACTGCAAGCGGGAATCAGAATGAAAGTGATACTGACTGTGAAAGTAAACGCGAGGGTGCGACTGCGACTGGGAATGGCAACGAAAATGAAATTGAAAGTCAAAGTGGGAATGAGAGTGACGGTGCGACTGTGACTGGGAATGAAAACGAAACTGAGAATGAAAGTGGGAATGAGGGTGCGACTGCGAGTGCGGTTAGATTCATAGTGAACATGAAAACCAGAGTGCGACTGCGACGGCGACTGGTAAGGAACATGACAGTGAAATTAAAAGTGAAAGCGCGAGTAAAAGTCAACTGCGCCTCTGGATGGAATGACAGCGACTGAAAACTGAAAATGCAACTGCGACTGTAAAAAAAAAAGAAAATTTGGGTAGAGTGAACGTCGGAGTGTAGCTGCCACTGCGAAAGAAAATACCAATGAAACTGAAACTTTGGATGAAAGTGAGACTCAAACTGCGACTGCGACTGAGGATGAATGAGAATGAAATTGAAAGTGACAGTGCAACTGCGACTGCGCATGAAACCGAGTTGGAGGGTGAGAATAAAAGTGGGGCTGAACAACCAAAACCCTAAACCAAACCTTGAACTAAACCTTGAACTCAACCCTAAACTAAACCCTAAACTCAACTCTAAAGTCAATCCTAAAATGAACACTAAACCAAAACCTATCCAAAACCTAGAGTGAAAGTGACACTGCGAGCGAGACTAGGACTGAGAGTGGAACGGAAAAGGAGAATCATGAAGCAAGTAGAAGAATGACACTGCGACTGGAACTTGAAAATGCGACTGCCGCTGTAAAAGAAAAAAGACAACTTGGGTAGAGTGAACTTCGGAGTGGAACTGCCACTGCGAAAGAAAATGCGAATGAAACTGAAACTCTGGATGAACGTGAAACTGCAACTGCGACTGGGACTGAGGATGAATGAAATGGAACGTGAAAGTCACAGTGCAACCAAAACCTATCCAAAACCTAGGGTGAAAGTGAGAGTGCGAGCGCGAGTACGACTGAGAGTGAAACGGAAAAAGAGAATCAGGAAGCAAGTAAGATAATGACACTGCGACTGGAACTGGCATTGAAAATGACAGTTACGCTGAGAATGCCAGTGAACGTGAAAGTGCAGTCGCGACCGCGACTGTGAGCGAGAATGCAAGTGAAACAGAAAACCAAAATGAAGAGTGAGAGTGACAGTGGGAATGCAACTGCGACTGGTGGTGGGAATGATAGTGAAAATGTAAGTGGAAGCGAAAGTGCTCTTGCGACTGCAAGTGGGAATCAGAATGAAAGTGATACTGACAGTGAAAGTAAAAGCGAAAGTGCGACTGCGAGTGGGAATGGCAAAGAAATTGAAACTGAAAATGAAAGTGGCAATGAAACTGCGGGAGTGAAAATGAAACTGAGAAAAAGTGGGAGTGAGGGTGCGACGGCGAGTGCGATTACATTGACAGTGAGCATGCGAACCAGAGTGCGACTGCGACTGGTAGTGAACATGACAGTGACAGTAACAGTGAAAGCAAGAGTCAAAGTCCACTGCGATTCTGGATGGAATCTAAGCGACGGAAGATAAAAATGCGACTGCGAACTGAATGAAGAAGGAAATAACAATTTGTGTAAAGCGAAGGTCAGAGTGTAACTGCCATCAAACTCAGGGTGAGAGTGAGACAGAAATTGCGACTGGGACAGAGCATGAATGAAATTGAAAGTGGAAGATGTAATGCGACTGCGACTACGCATGAAACTCAGATTCAGGGTGGGAATAGAAGTGGGATTGAAAGTGAGGGTGCGAGGGAAGGTGCACTTGCGACGGCGACTGATAGGGAGAATGAAGATGAGATTGAGTGTGAAAATGAAAATGAAACTGCGACTGCGATTGCGACGGCGGGTGGCTCCTTTGCAAGTAAAAATTTTTTTTGAACCCGTGCTGAGGCCAAGGCTGAAGCAAACCTGAAGGTGAAAATGAAACGGAAATTAGGTTTGAGAGGCAGAGTGCAAGTGCGATCATAACTACAACTAAGAATGAAAGCGAGAGTCATAACTACAACTAAGAATGAAAGCGAGAGTGAAACTGACAATGAGAATGAGCGTGAAACTGCGACGGCTATTGCGACTGAGATCTCCGAGAAAGAAAGTGAAACCGAGAGAAACCACAAGTGAGAATGAGAGTAAGAATGAAATTGAGAGTGAGAGTGAAAGTGAAAGTGAAAATGAGTGTGAGAGTCAAGATGAAAGTGAACATGACAATGAACATGAAAGTGAAACAAAAACTGAAAGTGAAACTGCGACTGCGATTGCGACGGAAAACGAACGTAAGTGCAAGTGGGACTCAAGATGCAATGAAAGTGCGAATGCTACCGCGACTCAAGGTGAAAATGCGCGTGAAACTGAACGTGAGAACCAGAGTAAAAGCTAAAGTGAGAGTGATAATGAGGATACGAATCAGGCTGAACATGGGAGTGAGAATGAGAGTGAGAATGAAAATGGGAGTGAGGGTGTCACTGAGACTTAAGATTACAGTGAAACTGCGACTGCAACTGGGACCGAGGAATGACAGTGACATTTCGAAGTGAGAATGAGAGTGCGATTGCGACGGAGAATGACGATTGGAATGAAACAGAGCGTAAAGTGTCGGAAACGGGGACTGAATGTGATAATGACAGCGAAAATGAAAGTGACAGGTGTCAAACTGCGACTGCACTTGAGAACGAGAATGACAGTGAGGTTCTGAGTGAAGGTGAAAGTGCGACTGCGACTGGGGACTGGGATTCATCATCATCGTCGTCGTCATCGTCATCATCATCATCATCATCGTCATCGTCCTCGTTGTCCTGGGCATCGGCATCGTCCGATCTCAAGAGCGTGTAAACTACCGTAATATGAATAATTCTCGTGGGTGCTGCAAGCATTGCTGAAAGAAATGTTGCAACAAAGATACATAGCGGGCAACAAACGCCAGAAGTAACAAATCCATGCTAGCTTCATGGACATTTTGACCGTAAGTTTTTGTAAAATTCCAGAGGATATTGGCACAAGCCCGCAATAGACAGGGAATGCTAGGCACGGCTTCCAATGTTTATTTCACGTTCAGGAGGCTTATGTCGCAGTGAGCAAGGACTAGGAGGCAATACTCCGTAAGAATGGACTCCGCAAAAAAGGAATGCTGAGCCATAACACACATGATTATTTTGGTTTTACGGGGTTCGCTTCGCATCAGACAAGAAATACTAGGCAATACTTCGTATGATTATCTCAATTGTAAAAAGTTTGCGTCCCAGAGTATCAAAAGCATTGGGCAAAACTTCTTATGGCTATTTTAGATTCAGGAGGTTTTTGTTGCAGCATACAGGAAATACTAAGCGATATTTCGTGAAATTACGTTAGTTTTCACAGGCGTCGCAGTGGAGGGGGAATCCTGGGCAATACTTCCTATGTTTATTTGGATTATAGGGGGCTTGTGTCGCAACAGACAAAGAATACTGGGCAATACTTCCTATGATTATTTTAGTGTGAAAGGGTTTGCGTAGAAGTGGAAAAAGAATACTAGGCCATACTTTGTATGATTAGTCTAGTCTTACGGGGTTCGCTTCTCAGCAGACAGGGAAGGGAATTGTAGGCAATACTTCGTACCATTATTGTACTTTTAAGGGGTGTGCCTCACAAGAAACAGCTGGAATTTCTTCAACACATTACTGAAATGCTGTTTTGGAGGTATCTATCTAAAAAAAAATACTTCGAATATTATTCGAATCCGACGAAACAGACACACACACACATACATGTATATATATGTATATATATATACATATATATATCTATATTTATATACATATATATTTATATTTATATGTATATATATAAACAAACTAGCTAGCAGTCACTTGTCGGCACGTTTGTTCAGCGACACGCAAGCCTCTTGCGGTTCCGCTAAAGAGCAAAAATTGGCGTTGTGCCGTGAAAAGGAACCGGCTACAAACGCAAAATTAGGATAACTGCACTCAAGACCGTGCATCATCCGGCCCTGGCTCGTGCGACTCGCGGGTGTTGTCCGGGCGCCTATCCGGCAACACACCACGTGACGCAGTCCATGCGAACCCGCAGGCCGGAAACCTGACGCAACGGTACCAGGACAGTATCACTCCGGAGCGCATCTTGCGCGCTTCCCACCGTGCGGTGGGACAACCGCAGACAGGGCATCGATAGCAGGGGCCTGGTGCATTCATTGCCAGATTTGGGGGGGGTGTTGGTGGTTCCCAGCCTGCAGGGATTGGCTGGGGAGGAGGTGGGGTATAAACGTCCGCCGAAGGCGGTGGGGGAAGAACTTCGGCTCCTGCAGCACTGGAGGGTGGGGGAAGAACTCCGGCTCCTGCAGCACTGGAGGGTGGAGGCGCTGTTGACAGCGGTGGTACCGGCGCAGATACAGCCGCGGGCGGTGCGAGAGGCACGGGTGGCCCCGATGGAAATGCGACCTCAGGAGGAGCATTGGAGCCGCAGCTGCCGGAGGGTCCACGCGTGTGAATGCGATCCTCGCAAAAACAGAACTCGCCGACAAAAGGAAACTTCCACACGCATGATGGTCCTGTAAGAATCTTGTCTCGGGCACTGTGATGCCCGTCTGCTTCTCGAATTTTTGTTGCACTCGGCGTGCGGCTTCCTGGAAACACCCGGCAGGAACTGCAATCACAAGCTGCAACGTCGAAAGCATGCAAGCACAAGTTGGAAACTAGGACTGGCAAGGTCTGTCCTGGATTTCGATAGCAAGGTCTTGCTGGAATGCCAGGTCGGCTTCCTCCTTTTTCCGTTTTTTGACCAGCTTGTCCAGCTCTTGTTGCTTCTCTTCGACAAAAGTTTTGGTTTTGTGTGCCTTGAGGGCCATGCGGTGTGAATCGTCATCATCCCAGCCGTGGCCTTTGTGCTTGATAATATCGGGCACGATCTGGGGATTGAATCTCATCACACGCCCGATCCCCGAAAGACCACATTTGTGACCCCTTTTTTTGCTACCCGGAGGGCCGAAGCAGTCCTCGCACTTGGAACGTGCCTTGTGGACCGCCAAACAGCGGTTGCAAAAACAACTTGGCATGAGCTTCGGGAAAAGCTCCCGGATCCTATGCCATTCCTTCAGGATAGCTTCGGCTACCTCCCGTCGCCGGACCAACTCGCGGAATCTGGCGGGCGCTTGGGCATCACCTGGGTTTGTATCCGGGTGCGCCGCCCGGGCAGATCGGCGGTAGCCGCTTACGAGCAAGGTTTTCCAAGTGTCGGGGCGGGCGGCGTAAACAGACGCGATGTCCAGCCCCAGCAGCGCCAGGGCCTCCCTCAACTCAGCGTCTTCCGGGCCCGGGGTGTGGTCCAACTCTGGCGTGGCGTTTGGGACGGGTGGGGGTGTGTCTTCACCGACGGGTTCTACGTCGGAGTCCAACTCCGACAGCAAGGGAATGTCGAACAAGACCTCGTCGGCAGGGGTTCCTGGGAGCAGGCGATATGCGTACGTCCAAAGCGACGCGAAACATACTACGGAGAGAGAAGGTGCGCGCAAACAAGAAAAGCAAGCAAACATCAGCGGCAGCGTGTCGAGTCTAGGCAAGAAAACAGAAGTTAGCGTAGGACCTGGGTCTGCTTCAATATCCTCAATGCCATCTGGGAAATCGGGAGATCCATCGTCCGCTGGCGACGCACCTTACGCGAACGGGATACAAATGTCGACAACTACAAGCACGTGTGTAGGCAACCAACAGGAACCTAGCACGGGACTCGGTGCCGGAACGAGCGGGGGCTCCCCCAACATACCTGCAAGAATCGCTGCTGGAGACTACGGTGCATTGAAACCGCGCAGATGGCTCGTCAACGTAGTAAAAGCTACAGGATGCAACACGCACTCATGCGTGGGCAAGCAACGCAAACCTGCAATAGGATGTGGTTCTGGGTCGGACGTCGGCGACGTCGGTTCCACGAGTCCACCTCCAAAAGTTATTGACGGAACGTGCAAAGTTGGGGTACAGCGGGCACAAGGCTCGGCACCATCGTCGAGAATTGCGCCTGCAGTGAGGCGTCCATGGATAGGATGGGAAGTGGATAGGATGGAAAGTTGAAACCCGTGCCTACCTGCCGGACCATGGTTTGCGAAGCTCATGGATACCGGATCGAAGACCATGTCGTATCCTACTGCAAACAGCCGGTCGGAGCAAGGCAACTACAGGCACATGTCTAGGCAAATTACAGATTCCTAGCATGGGACCTGGTGCTGGGGCGAAGGCAAGCTCACCAGGTCCACCTCCAAGACTTGTAGCTGGAACATGCAGTCTTTTACTTCGCCTAGTGGTATCCATGGGTACGACAAAAGGTGGAGACCATGTCGTCTCCGACTGCAAAGAGCATGTTGGAGTTGGAAACGAAGTAACGTGAACATGATGAACATGCTATGCTTGCAAGAATGGGCCGCAGACTTTCACCGACCCACTGACCATCCCGGTACACCGGGCGCAAGCCTCGAAGACAAACAAGAAGAAGCAACAATCTTTGATAACATGAATTTAGGAAGCGACCGGCTTGGATGATATAAAGCGCAGCGAGCATATTCTCGAGGGGGTCGTCATCTCGCCTGGCGTCATGGATTGTCTTGGCATGCAAATGCGTATCCGGCATTCGTACAATACCGAGGGCCCTGCACAGAAACCCCGAGCAACGGCAGGAGTAGCAGTAGCAGAAACATAGCTGCCACAGTGCTAGAAGATACGTCCAGGTACTTGGGAATTGGATTGCTTGAGAGCACACTGCGCATAACGCATCATGAGCAAGCCGGTCCAGCATCGCAAACAGTGGCACGAAAAGTTTCCAGCTTCGTGTGTTGCGTTTTTTTTTGCAGCATAAAAATACATGTCAAAGTCTTGCGTGTGTATGCACGTACATGCATGCAAGAATGGCATCGTGCAGTGTCCACGGCGGAAGTGGCGACAATGACAGAGGCGGCATACGTACCGACGGGCAGCGTCCGGCGAACGGTTGCTCGCAGGAGGTGGCGTGTTGGCGTTGGCACCACGGCACCGACATGCGGGTGACGGCGGCAATAATCACGAAAGTGTTCCTACAACGTCGGCGGCGGCGTCGTTGCGATGGGGCGACGGCAGCGGCGGCGTGGTGGCGTGTCTAGTATGGCGCCAGTGTGCCTGTGATGGCGGCAATAAGTAGCACCCGCAAAGCAGCGTTCCTGCGACGCCGGCGGCGGCGTTTTTGTGATGAGGCTACGACACCGAACGGCGCAGCGACTCGGTCCCCGTGGCATCCGCCCAGTGGCGTGCCGAGGACGGAACGGCAGCATGCCAACAAGCTGGTCGTTGGCGATATGCGTAGGATGGCGGCAGTATATACCGGCCGCTGGCAGTGGCGTGCCTGCGCCGGAGGCTGCGGCCCCTCTGCGACGAGGCAGAACAGGGGCCGGCGGCACTGCACTGGCTGCGTACGTACGACGGGGCACTGACGGGGCCTCAGTTTTTGGCGCCCGGGACAGCGGCGACGTCCGCACGGCCGCACGAAAAAAAACAGCGTACAACGGGGGCCTGAGCGCGGTAGTAGTAGTAGTAGTAGTACTAGTACTCGTAGTCGTACTCGTACTCGTACTCGTACTCGTTGTCTGTGTGTGTCTCCGTGTGAGTCACTGCTTGTGTCTGTGTGTCTTGCCTGTGTGTGTGTGTGTGGGGTCTGTTGTGTCTGATGTGCTTGTTTGTGCAGGTGCAAATGTGTGGATGTGTGGGTGTGTGGGTGTGTGGGTGTCTGGGTGTCTGGGTGTCTGGGTGTGTGGGTGTGTGGGTGTGTGGGTGTGTGGGTGTGTGGGTGTGTGGGTGTGTGGGTGTGTGGGTGTGTGGGTGTGTGGGTGTGTGGGTGTGTGGGTGTGTGGGTGTGTGGGTGTGTGGGTGTGTGAGTGTGTGGGAAAGTGGGTGTGTGGATGTGTGGGTGTGTGGGTGTGGGGGTGTGTGGGTGTGGGGGTCCCGGGTGTGTGGGTGTGTGGGTGTGTGGGTCCCGGGCGTGTGGGTGTGGGGCAGGTGCCCCGCGTGGCTGCGGAGTGGGTGGATCCAAGATTTGGGCGGCTTGCTTGGGCAACGGGTGTCCGCGGAAACCACAACAGCGACACCGACCACATCGACACCGAACACACCGACAAGGATCACACCCCACACCGACAAGACATCGACGACAACGACAACGACACGAACACCGACGACACGAACACCGACGACACGCACACCGACGACACCGACACCGACAGAAACCACAATAACAAACACCACACCGACTCCGGTAATACCGCCGCAGATCCATGCGCCACACCGGTCACACCGATCAAACCAACACCGATGACACCAACCACACCAGTCACACCGACGCCGATCACACCCACCACGCCGACCGCACTGGTCACACCGACAACGATCACGCCGAAGGAGGGTTTGAGTAAATTGAAGTGGTGAATCCCCGAACGACGGTTTGAGTAAATTGAAATCATGAAAACCCATAGAAAGGTCTAAGTAAAATGAAGTGATGAATCTCAGCAGGAGGGTTTAAGTAAATTGAAGTGATGAACCCCCGGAAGAGGGTTTAAGTAAATTGAAGGGATAATCTCAGCAGGAGGGTTTAAGTAAATTGAAGTGATGAACTGCCGAAAACAAGGTTTAAGTCAATTGAAACGATGAACGATCCCCGAAAGAGGGTTGCAAGTCCATTCAAGTGGTGAACTCCTGAAGGAGGGAACTTTGAGGTGATGAGCCTCCTTCGTTGCAGTGACGAACCCCCGAAGGAGGGTTTAAGCAAGTTGATGTCATGAACTCCCGAAGGAAGGTTTAAGGAAATTGGAATTGAAGTGACAAGCCACCCGAAGGATGTTTTAAGTAAATCGAACTGATGAACCCCGAAGTAGGGTTTAAGTGCGTCGAAGCGATGAACCCTCGAAGGAAGGCTTGAGTAAATCGAAGTGATGAACCCCCGAAAGAGGGTTTAAATAAGTTGAACTGATGAACACCCGAAGGAGGGCTTAGGTAAATTGAAACAGTGCAAACCCAGAGGACGGTTTAAGTAAGTTGAAGTGACGAATCTCCGCAGGAGGGTTTAAGTAAGTTGAAGCGAGCAACCCCCGAAAGAGTGTTTAAGTGAGCTGAAGTGATGAACACCCGAAGCGAAGAAGGGTTGTAAGTACATTCAAGCGGTGGCTGTGAGCACATACACACATGTGTTGTAGAAGACGTCAACTGAGGGCTGGCCGACCAATGCTGCTGTGAACACAAACATGTGTGTTGCAGACTGCAGAACAATCCAATGAAGAAGTCATGCGAAGGTTCTGAACATTCAACAACTTTGCCAGACCAACCGCTGATGTGAGCACACACACACATGTGTGAAGCAGAAGAAGTCAATTAAGGGTTGCACCCAAGGGCCAAGGGTTGGCCGACCAATTGCTGCTGTGGGCATGCACATCTGTGTTTCTGACCGCACACGTGTCTGGTGCAGAATCAGTCCATTGAACTTCCACCATTTCATAAACTTTGGCAGACCGATAGTTTGCTGGGAGCACATACACACATGTGTTGCAGAAGAAGTCCACAGAAGGTTGACCGACGAATTGCTGCTGTGAACACACACATGTGTATGTTGCAGGACAAACCAATGAAGAGGTCAAGTCAAGGTTCTGAGCATTCAACAAGTTTGGCAGCCCAAGTGCTGCTGTGCGCACACACACATGTGGGTTGCAGAAGTCGTAAACTGACGGCTGTAACCAAGGGTCAAGGGTTGCCCGACCAATTGCTGCTGTAGGCAAACACATGTGTGTTTCTGAACACACACATGTGTGGTGCAGAACAAGTCAATGGAAGCTTTGATCATTTTGAAAACCCTGGCAGACAGTTTGCTGCTGTGAGCACATGCACACATGTGCTGCAGAAGAAGTCAACTGAAGATTGGCCGACCAATTGCTCCTGTGAACACACACAGGTGTGCTGCAGAATAGTCCAATGGAGAAGCCAAATGAAAGCTCTGAACATTCAACAACTTTGGCAAACCAATTGCTGCTGTGAGCACACACACACAAGTGTGTTGCAGAAGAAGGCAATTGACGGTTGCACCCAAGGGTCCAGGGTTTGCCGACCAATTGCTGCTGTGGGCATACACACGTGTGTGTTTCTCAATACACACATGTCTGGTGCAGAACACATCAATGTCAGCTTTGGTCAGTTTAACAACTTGGATAAGCCGATTGTTGGCTGTGAGGACATACACACATGTGTTGCAGAAGAGGTCAGCTGAGGCTTGGCCGACCAAGTGCTGTTGTGAACACACACATGTGTGTGTTGCAGAATAATCCAACGCAGAAGCCAAGTGAAGGTTCTGAACATTCAACAGCATTCGCAGACAAGTGCTGCTGTGAGCCTGCACCCATGTGTGCTGCAGAAGAAGTCAATTGAGGGTTGCACCCAAAGGTCAAGGGTTGGCCGACCATGTGTGTTGCAGAATAGTCCAATGAAGAAGACACGTGAAGGTTCTGAACATTCAACAACTTTGGCAGACCAACTGCTGCTGTGAGCACACACCCATGTGTGTTGCAGAAGAAGTTAATTGAAGGCTGCACTCAAGTTTCAAGGGTTGGCCGACCAATGGCTGCTGTGAACACACATGTGTGTGTTTCTGAATTCCACACATGTCTGGTGCAGAAGAAATCAACTGAAGCTTTGATCAGGTTACAAACTTTGGCAGAAAGACTGCTGCTGTGAGCACATACACACATGCGTTACTACAGAAGAGGCC